GCAACATGACCTTTACCAGCCAGGTCATGACCTGGACCTGAGCTCAAATTTCCCAAATGACGTTTGAATGTCAAATTATAGTTCATTCGACGCATCTCGACGAGAGGAGCACAGTACTGAAAAAACAATGTCATAACTTTCGTGAGTCAATAATTATTACAGTAAAAAGGTTCTTCATTAAAACAGCTCAGTAGAGGGGCGGAGGGGGTCCACTGTCCCCTCCAACCCTCCCCGGCCCGGCACGGTTAAACAAGTTGTGCTCTGGAGGTTAAGCCGTTGATGTTAGGTCAAGTCTGAGGACTTCATAGGAACGTTGAAGAGCTATCGAATGCGCTTTTTCGCGGTGCTGTAGTTCTATTCTTCCCCGAGTTATGCGCCAGTTTGTCAATAAATGTTGAAACAGACAACATTTCACCCACATTTCACCTTTGATGACCTCTGGTCACCTGATATTTGACATTTGACTTGACCTAACCAAAGTACCAACTAACCAACTAACCCAAGTAGTTTTTGACACTCTTCCGAATACCGCTTACCGCGTGTCGCTACGTGGCCTAAGTAGCCAAGTTATAGGGGTCGGGAGGGGGGTTTAAACAAACTCAGCCCGGCGCCGGTTAAGGGAAGGCACTATCATTTTGGGGGCGCTGCAGATATGCTAAGGGACGACAGCATCATTTTGATTTTTGAGGCGCGCCACCAATTTTTTATGGCACTTAAACCACTTTGAGGGCCGGGGCACCACCGACACTGTGAGGAGAGCAATTATCTCTTTGAGCGTTGAGGGGTGGCACCATTACATTGAAGGGCGCCATGTGAGCAGTGATGTGGGGCAAAAATGACAATGAGGAGCGCCTCCGATACTTAAAGAAGAGACGCCAACAGTACTCGGGGGGGGGGGGGGCAACATCACTGTTATTTTGAGTACGCCACCCACATTGTAAGGGGCGGCACTGTAACTTTAAGGACTGCCACGGATACTTTAAGGGGCGGCTCCATCATATGGAGGGGCGCTACAGATCTTTAACCCTCGCCCGTATTGGTGTTTTTCCAGCCGCGAACGTATAAGGGGGGTGGGTCCGTTGGACCCCCCTTGCCGTTTCGCCCCTGATCGAGCTAGAGCTTCGGGGAAAAAATTGCCCGACGAGAGGAAGCCGATGATACCTAATTTTAAGGTCCTAGGTCATTGGTTGACCTTGCAGGTCAGGTCAATGACCCAAAAGTCGGGAAAATCGGGACCTGTTAGAACGTCGTAAAGTGTGGCTGCTACGGGGTTTTTCGGGGTGCTGATCACGAATATCATGTTAGTTTTGATCACAGATGATGTCTTCATGCATTTAGTCCAGGTCGGGTCAGGTCAGGTCAGGTCAACCAGTAGGGGTCCTGCCGGGTATTCCTAGTAGGTGTCAACCGCCTCTGACAGCTTCGTAACATGTTACGAAGGCACCAAAACTACTTCGTAAATGTTCAAATGGTTGCTAAATTCGAATTCAGCTGCAAAAACTGGCCTAGAAACATGTAAAACTCGAAAAAGTGAACCGAGGTCATCAAAGGTCAATGACCTGACCTGACGTTCAGGTGACCTTGACACCCACCCTAACGCATGGGGGCAACATCATATCACATGTTTGAACGCTTGAAACCACGAAAAGACTGCAAACGCGCGGCTAATGCGAGCCGAGGACATACGCCGAATCGCGATTCCGGCCAAACATGGTTTCGAAAAGTAGGTCACAGGTCAAAGGTCATTGGGGTCAGGGTCATGAAATTTTAAGAGTAGGTGTAAAATTGATTAACGCGAGGGTACTGAAAGTTTTGTCGCGATCGGCCGCTTTTTACGCGAGTTATTTGCGAAAAACCATGGGGGGGTCCGTTCGACCCCCCCTACACGGGCGAGGGTTAATGGGCGGCAATAGGTATGATATTTAGGGACTCCGATACTTCGAAGGGCGCCACCGTTTGTTTGAGGGTGACGTCATCACTTTGAGGGCCACCACCGATACTGTTCGGGGCGCCACCGACACTATAAGGGGCGCCACCGACACTGCCAGGAGCACTTTGACCGGCGTTACTATCACATATGGGCGCCGTGAGCACATTGGGGGGGGGAGGGGGCGGCACCATGACGTGGAGGGGCGTTACGGAAGGTTTGAGGGGCGGCAACATGACATTGAGGAGCGCCTCCGACACTTCGAGGGACACCAGCATTTCTTTGAGAGGCGGCACCTTGACTTTTGAGAAGACACCACCGACACTGTAAGGGGCGGCACCATCACTTTGAGGGGCGCCACGGATGGTTTGAGAAGCGGCACCATTATGTATATGAAGGGGCGCTACAGAAAGTTAGAGGGCGGCAACATTGTATTGATGAGTTCCTCCAAAACTTTGAAGGGCGCCACTGACACTGTAAGGGGCGGCACCAGCACTTTTAGGGGCGGCAGCATCATTTTGAGGGGTGCCACCGACTCGTTGACAGGAGACACCATCACATTTAGGGGCGCCACTGGCACTTTGAGGGAGACACCATCACATTGAGGGGCGCCACCGATACTGAAAGGGGCGGCATCATCTTCTTGAGGGGCGGCATCATCTGCTTGAGGGGCAGCTCCATCACAATGAGGGGCTATGTGGATACCTAGAGGGGCGGCACCATTATATTGGTGGGTTCCTCTGACACTTCGAAGAGCGTCACTGACACTATAAGGGGCGGCACTAACACTTTAAGGGGCGGCAGCATCATTTTGAGGGGCGCCACCAACTCGTTGGCGGGCAGCACCATCACATTCAGGGGCGGCATCATCTGCTTGAGGGGCGGCTCCATCACAATGAGGGGCTATGTGGATATCTAGAGGGGCGGCACCATTATATTAGTGGGTTCCTCCGACACTTGAAGGGCGTCACTGACACTATAAGGGGCGGCGCCAACACTTTAAGGGGCGGCAGCATCATTTTGAGGGGCGCCATCGACTCGTTGGCGGGCAGCACCATCACATTCAGGGGCGCCACCGGCACTTTGAGGGCGGCACCATCACATTGAGGGGCGCTTCGATACTGAAAGGGGCGGCATCATCTTCTTGAGGGGCGGTATCATCACATTGAGGGGCTCCACAGATGCTTAGAAGGGCGGCACCATTACATTGAGTGGGACTACTAACAGATTTAGGGGCGGCACTGTCACATTGAGTTGTGGGATCATCACTTTCTATAGACGGCTGCTTCACTTTAAGAGGCGGCATTATCATTTCGGAGGGCAGCAGCCTCACTATGAATGACGGCACCTTGCCTGCATGTGCGTGCTGCATCCTAGAGGGGGCGGCAACTGGGTCGGCAAACGGCTGTCACTGGGTCGGCATTCTCCGTGACTGGGTCGGCAATTGCCGACCCAGTTAACATGTTAAAATACGCCCTGACTCTGATTTCCATTTTCGTCTATTTGGACCGATCCCCTGGCCCTGCTAAGCTAAGTCTTATTCGGACTTCGGTTAGCAGAGGAAGAGGCACTGAACTCTATAATGAAGAGGATATTATGTCCGACATACCTACTTCGATGCGTGCGTGTTTTTTTTTTTTGGGGGGGGGGGGGGGTAGGCTGGTAGCTACATTTTTAGATACCTATATCGAATTTTTTAAAACCAAGGTCTTGGTGCGTTGAATGTTAACCCTCTCATGTCGGATGGTGGGGGAGGGGGAGGGGGAGGGGTCGGATGGACCCCCCCCCCCTATGGTTTTTCGCGAATAACTCGCGCTAAAAGGGGCCGATCGCGGCGAAACTTTTAGTACCCTCGAGTTGATCAATTTTACACCTACTCTGAATATTTGATGACCCTGACCCAAGTGACTTTTGACCTGTGACCTATTTCTTGAGGCCATGTTTGGCCGGAATCGCGATTCGGCGTATGTCGGCTCGCATTAGCCGCGCGTTTGCAAGCTTTTCGTGGTTTCAAACGTTCAAACATGTGATTTGATGTTGCCCCCATGCATTCGGGTGGATGTCGAGGTCACCTGAAGGTCAGGTCAGGTCATTGACCTTTGGTGACCTCGGTTCACTTTTTCGAGTTTTACATGTTTCTGGGCTAGTTTTTGGAGCTGAATTCGAATTTAGAAACTATTTGAACATTTACGAAGTAGTTTTGATGCCTTCGTAACAGGGGCGCGGGAACTACTTTCCGACTGGGGGGGGGGCACACCATAATAGAGATTAACCTAGGGTACCCCCAAATCTAGGTTTCTCACCGGTTTTAGGCCACTTATTTTTCACCCCTCGGATTTTTCAACAAAAAAAGAAAACATTTGCAAAAAAAATGTGGTATTCCGTCTCAAAGCTGTGGGGGCACCGCCCCCACGGCCCCAGAGTTGGGGGGGGGGGGGCAAGCTGCCCCCACTGCCCCCCCCCCCGGCTCCCGCGCCTATGCTTCGTAACATGCCACGAAGCTGTCAGAGGTGGTTAACTCGTACTACGAATACCCGTCACGACCGCTACTGGTTGACCTGGCCTGACCTCACCTGGTCTAAATGCTTAAAGACATCACATGTGATCAAAACTAACACGATATTCGTGATCAGCACCCCGTAAACCCCCATAGCAGCCACACTTAACGACTTTCTAATAGGTCCCGATTTTCCCGACTTTTGGGTCATTGACCTGACCTGGAAGGTCAACCGATGACCTAGGACCTTTAAAATTGGGTATCATTGGCTTTCTATCGTCACGGGCAACACGTTCGTTTTTTCCGCGAAGCTCTAGCTCGATCAGGGGCCAAACGGCAATGGGGGGGGGGGGGGGTCCAAACGACCCCCCCCCCCCCCGACACGTTAGAAGCTGGCAAACGCCGCACACATGCAAGGGCTAACTCTGACCGTCTAAAAATCTGCTGAGGCTGCTACTGTCATATCTTACCTGTCCTTCGCCAAGTAAAGGAATGTAGGTATGCATTTTTGTTAAAAAACACATGCTAAATCTATTCGGTAATTTCGGTCTGGGACCAATTTCACCAAACAAAAACTGTTAGGCAAGCTGTATATTTTTGTCCTTCCGATTCGAAGTCTCATTGAAGATTGGCAGTAGACATGCATGCACGAAATGCTGATAAATATCCAATTGGTCACAACCAATGAAGTTGAGCAATCAGAGTCACGTGCTGCTGCTGTGACGGCGGTGTGCTGCTCTGGTCCGTACACCGAGCGGTGACAGCATTCAGGCGGAGTCGGTCGGACAGCCGGGCGCCGGCTCACCGGTGCGCATCCGCCAGGTCTCGCACACAAAGAACTCGAGGTTGTAGAGCATCAGCTGCTGGCCGTCCTGCTGGCCGTCGGCGGTGACGGTCGGCACAAACGTGAGCGGCGGCTGCAGCTGCCGCGTGCGCCGGCCGAACGCCAGCGCGTCAGCGAGTGCGCTCTCGGAGAAGGAGCAGCGCGCCACCCGCCGCCAGTCGAGGCCGGCGGCGCGCACACAGATGGGCGCCGCCGCATGCAGCCAGCGATAGTTGCGCATCAGGCAGCTGACGGCTGCCAGCTGCTGACCGGCGTCGGCCAGCTGGCTCAGCACGCAGCCGTGCAGCCGGTTCCCCCAGCACTCGGCCGGGCCGTGCTGACAGGTGACGTAGGCTCCGCCTCCGGTCGGGTCCTCGTGCTCCCACGCCTTGCCCCATGGCACAAACTGCAGCGAGAGCACATCGCTGCTGCCGATCCTCCGCCACAGCGGCTCCAGCTGGTCGACCACGAAGTGCTTAGAGTCCGGACAGAGCGCCTCGTAGTACACGGTGAGGTTGAGCGGCGCCTGGGCTCGGGCCGGCGCCGGGCTCAGCGCGGTCAGCAGCAGTGGGAGCAGCAGCAGAGGCGCCATCGGGGCTGAGACGGCGGCGGCGACTGAGCCAGCGCGGTCGTGGCGGACCCCGGGACGCAGCTGGTGCCCTCCCAGACCGATAGTGGCCCGCCCGCCGTGCGAGCCGGTGCCCTGCGACACTGACCTCGGTCCGAGCTGTCCCCGGATGTCGCCGTGCTCGTGACTATGCTCTCTGCCATGTGGCACTGTTCTGCAAAAAACTGCCGCCACCGTCGCGCCGGACAGCTTACGGCCGCCTGATAGTGACACCTCACGTAGCGGCGATATGACGTGCAGGGGCGACCCCAGTTCCGATTGTCTGGCGCGTCAGGTGAAAGGGTCTCATAAAAGTGTCTGCTGGGTATCGCTTTGTCCTTTCGTTGCCGTGTTGATAAGTGAATTATATTGGATACGGACATGATCTGTGTAATGCAGATGTGCTGTGAGCCACATGCTTTCCTTTGTAAGGAGTAGATGTATGTATGTGAGGCATTGAATAATGCCGAACATTCAAGTATTTTGTTATCAGCAGTCTCAACTCTTACAGTTAGGACCTATTTAGTCGCGGTAACAACTTCATAAAGGTAGATAAAATGAATTCCAAACAACTTTGAAAAGGTCATAGGGTGCAATTCAGCGTTGGTCGCGGAACTATCGTCTTCTTCACACTCGTATCCCATCACCAGATAACGTGATGTAATGTGGGTGAGGGTGACCACAAACACCGTCTGTATGGCTATCTGAGTTCCGTTCAAATCTGGGTCGTCCCGTCTGGGTACGGGGTCGTGCTTCCTGCATCCATGGATCAAGGTCTAGTCGGATACGTGGTGTCAGGCGGCGATCGGACGTGTGAATAAATTCAGAATACGCGTATGCTTCTTCAATGTTCATGTTTTTAACATAAAGCGCGCGATGCAATATTACGCTCTGCATAGCCCGCTGCTGAGGCCCAACGCTAATGACGACGGAAAACTTTGGCTTCTACTTTCTGCCTGGGTCTATGAATACCTATCGTATCAGCAGAATGCACTTTGATGAAACGGTTTCATATTTGGCATGCAGTAATAAATACCTGCCCACTCCCTTGCCTACGGGTGCGAAAACGCGTCGTTTCTCTCCGCCATTTTATTGGACAGAACACGGCATAATAAAGTGTTTGTTTATGTTATACCTACTGCATTTAACATGAACACTGAATTAAGTATTGTTCTAACTTCTCATTATACACAAATACAAGGCTATAAATATATTTTTGACAAACCTTTTGTTTTCAGGTGTTTTCAGGCTAAATAGCCTAGGCATAACTGTAAGGATTTTTATTCGTAGTTTTGCATAGTACCCGGGATACAAAGGCTTTGAAAATTTTCACAAGTCCTCTATCATAACTGATGCCCATGCAATATTGCATGTGATGCATTTCCGTAAGTGGTGGTCGATTTCACCAATAGCACCATCATTTGCACATCATAGTATGCACCCGTGCGCGCTATGCGTCCTGCACCGGACAACCAACCGTCCACTGACAGGACACCCGCTGTCTTCCAGTCCTTCACCAGAGTGCCGTATAATCGGCCCGTACTCCCTGCGGCGGGTGTCGGTCTCCGGGCCGAGACCGCTCACACCCGCCGTTCTCTACTCCATCACTCCATCAGTTGCCGTATAATCGTTCAGTATTCCATGCGGCGGGTGCCGGCCGCGGCCGTCGGGTCCGTACTCCGGACCGCTCACGCCCGCTGCGGCCGGTCGTAGTCAGAGTCCTCCCCAGAGTCCTGGAATACCCCGTTGTCGTAGCCGCCGTCGTGTGAGGTGCGTGTGTACGGCGCCAGCGGGTACTGCTGGCTGCTCGTCGACGGGGTCGAGACGTGCGACCGCATCTGCAACGGGGACAGGCCGGCTCGTCACGCGGCAGCTGAAGGTTGTGTTTCAGTTTGAAGGCTGTGCAAGCTGTGCTGAAGGCTGTAGGCTAACTAGTAACTGTAACTCGCCTTTGTTTCCATGGGGGCTGGGTAGTGGTACGAGGCTACCCTGAGTGAGGGACACTTTGAAGAAGCAATATTTTGAAACTGTGGGAATGGCTGGATCGGGAAGCGGAAGCTGCAGTATCGTCAATTTTCGAATGGAAGAGCTCGGCAATGCCTATACCTATACATAGGTACCTAAATATCCGCCAGGTGTCGGGGTTAAATGCTCCGTAGAGGGCAGCACCATGGAATGCCACTCCATAGAGCTGGATATGCCTCGGGTTGTGGATAGGTTAGGTATGCATTCTATTTAGTTACGCAACGACAAAACATTTACATAACATAGTGAAACATGAGCCGGATAATAGCTGAAAGTACCATTGGAATATAAAGCTGTATTTTAACATTCGATTGCCAAGACAAGGTGGCCGAGTGGTTAAGGCGTTGGACTGCTAATCCAATGGGGTCTCCCCGCGTGAGTTCGAATCTCATCCTTGTCGAGGTCTTTTGACCCGATTTGCCAGCTTCATTGGCCTGAACGTGTTATGTATGTATGTATGTATGTATGTATGTATGTATGTATTGACGATCAAGAGCAATCCACAATCGGTGTTACGCGTAGGATAACTTTGCGACTAAGCGCTACGTGATGTCGCGGTTCCGTAATGGCAGTACTTACTGCGGCTCCCGACATGGAGTTCATGCGCGACATGCGCCGGTGCTCCGCCACCGACTTGCGACGGTCCTGGATGGCCTTGATGGTGGCGCGCCTCTTGTTCATGCTCATGCGCAGGTTGGCGCTGGTGAGTCGGCCGCCGGCTGCAAGGGAACGGAGGGAATCAGTCCCGGTGAGCTGCAATAGGCGTCCTTTTCAGCTTGACGAAATCAGTTATACATTTATGATTTAACGTGGGCTTCTCGTGGCAATATTTCAAACTTGATCACACATCGTCAATTGCTGCGCATTATAACATGCTCTCGCACGGCATCAGCCTTGTCTTAGCAATAGCTGTCACGTCACGCTTACCGGCTTCTCCGACCTCATCCAGGTCCTCCAGCGTCTGTTTGAAGTTGTCGTCCAGCGAGAAGGTGATCTTGCGCGACTTGCGCTTCTCGTCCGCGAGTCTGCTGATGGTCTTCCTGCGGTCGAGCTGGCGGCCGCCGCCCTCACCGCTCGAGACGGATGCCTGCCGCACGCTGGCCTTCTGCATCTGGGTGACCATCTTGATGCCCTCCTTCATGAGTAGGTCGGTGCTGCTCTGTTCCTTCTGCAGAGGGGCGGAGACCATGGGCGTCAGAGGAAGACTATACCATCATTGTATGCATAGTATTCATTGATGTTAGCTTCCGGATCAGGTGTCATGAATTTTCGCGATGAAGGGGCGCGACTGAAAGCTATGGGAGATGGCTCTCAACTAGCCGCAGCAATCAATGTATCCTATCAAAATGTCAAGTCTTAGGCATTTGACATGTTTTAATTGTTATGCAGGTATTTAGATTTGCCAATGCCAGATTTGCAACTTGCCACATACGAGCCTAGCTCGCTATACCTAGCCTAGCTCGTATACCTACCCTGGCTACAACTACTGCCGACCAAGCTAAAGCGGGGTTCACCCAGGACTGTTGCGCTGTCGATGGTAACCGTCCACCTACACTGGACTCTTACCACCTCCCATAGCTACGTGTGGCAACATCTTATTATGCGGGCATAGTTTGAACTTTGAACCAAATTCATTATTCCTGTTCCCGTCACTCGTATGACCATCACATCGGAAGGGAGGGATCCGCTCGCCCTGTGACCCACCTTGCTGCTGCACCAGTTGAGCGTCACCAGTGAGAGGATCTGAGAGATGGTGCCGAATCGGTGGAACAGCATGGCAGTGAACTGGATCAGAAGAATCACCGCGAAGAAGAGCACGAAGATGAAGCCGATCGGTTCCAGCTGAAGGTATGTGATAGCGATCTTGATCTGAGGAGAGAAGGCAACAGAAACAAGTTACGATCACTGAACATATCGCGAACCTAATAATTTTCCAAAGGAGGGCAGGGTCTGAGACTTGTGACGTGTTTGTCAGGTATAAGCAATAAGCATGGTGGGCACTCGTCATCCATGACGATTGTCTGGGGCCATTTGTGACGGTTCAGATTGTGACTGGTGTCATTTGCGAGTCGGGAGTCGCTTTTAGGTGTGTTCAAGACTGACCCAGCATCTCTTCCCTCGCACTAAAATGGGGACGAAGCGCCCTCCCCCGCCATAGACGCCGTGACCGGTCCCGATGGGCCCGCCCGCCCGTCCGTACCGATCTGCCGCTGGCATCCTCCGAGTAAGTGATCTCGTGCATGGCGCCGAAGGGCCAGTTGAGGTGCAGCTCGTCCTGGTGCAGCTGCAGGTTGAAGATGGCCACCACAAACACCAGGTTGATCATGAAGAAGAAGAGGCAGACTTTGGAGCGCAGCTCTTCGAGTTCGGTGGCGATCCGGGCCTGAGGTACGGGCATAGGGTGGTAGTCACGCGCTAGGAGCACCTCTACGGTCTAAACTCTACAGGGACAGGCCAGCCCGCACGGCGTGTGTGGTTTTTGACAAAGCGTAACACAACTGTCCTGCTAACTCCAATTACTGTACTTACTACTTGCTAAACGTCATCAGATGACGATGACATGCCACTGGAGATTCTACGGCGTCACGTCATGCAGGGTAGGTTTCAACCGAAACAATATTTCGCTTCATTTATTATTTGGATAGCAACAAGGACCGTAAGTTGTGTGATGCGTCTCTACCTTTTCTGCCTTATCTTCAATCAATGGGAAGAGGTACGCTTTGATCAGGTCGTTCCAGAAATCGATCTCCTTTGTTGAAAGCAGTTCAACATTCCCCTTGTCAGCAAACATTTCGTCTTCTATCCATAGCGGGTTCCTCAGAAGGTCCCTCTTCTTCGTGACGATTTTCTCTGCAACACATGAAACAAAGCAGTCAAACCTACACTTATTAGTCGACGGAGGGCTGCTTAGTGACTCGGTGTTAGGATCGGTCGTTGAGAGTAATAATATTTGATGCCTTATAACCTACTTTCTGGCTATGATCTTACTATTGTGTCGTGAGCTGAATTATGACTCACTCTCGATGAAGAGCGGCATGAAATGTATCATGCACTTCACAAACACTGCTGGACTTTGATTTTAAACAGACGAGATGGTAATTACATACTAAGTAACACTGCCGTAGGCACGATCCTCCGTCCTCTGAAAACAGCGTGGCCAAGTACGTGGTAATGCACCGTTCTTATAGTTCCAGGAAGCGAGCTTTGCAGCGAAGACGGACTGTTAATGTAACGCCGATTTCCATGAAGTTAACATAGTCACTGGAGATGAAAACTGTCTGAATGTCTCGTCCCGTCGCGCGAAAGGCCCACCGAATGCGACCGTTGCGTTCTCACCCTCGCTCTCGGCGGCGCTGAGGTCATCGGAGGTGTCTCCTTCTGTCTCGTCCCCGGCAGACTCCTTGATGGCACTCATCGCGCTGCGCACCGAGCTGCGGCTGGTGGTGCGGCGACGGCCCAGGCCGCCTCTGAGCCAACAGAAGGACAAGTTACGTATCGGAGCTGGCAACAACGCAAACAAGCGTAACGCATTCACAGGGCAATCTGAGCTGTGAAAATGTGTGCGCCTTTCTCGAAATAGGCATCTTACAGCTCATCACATACGACATACTTAAATTTGATTTAACACTTCGAAAGAAGTTGTCATATTAGTCCTTCGCCGTGTTCCGGATAGAAACTGTACTATTTTAAATCTTAAGATAATCTTCAGGTAAAGGAACCAACTCCAGAATACTCTCGTATGACGTACCCCTCAATAGAGTCCATTCGCTTGTTGATGTTGTCGATAGAGTCAGCGATGCGTTTCAGCTGTTCACGCTCGTCGTTGGCCTTGGGGTATGTGCAGCACATGCAGCGGAACACGTTTCCGAGTGAGAAGTCCACGGAGCCCTCCTCCTCCTTGGCGCCGCTGTTGAACTGACTGAGGAAGCCCATGATGCCTCCCGGCTGCTTCTTTGCGGCTTCCAGTGCCTTCTTCTCTGCCTCTTGCTCCTACGTTAGTGAGAAGGAAATAGCGATAGCGTCTAACTGATTGGAATCGTTGAAACACCTTACACAGTAGGGATTTATGCGACAAGAAATGTTTATTGGTCCCTATGATCGGACGTTAATTGTCCAATGCTCATAACGTTCCTCGGTTATCTTTACCCAGGGGATCGCCAAAGTATTTTTCTTCGCACAGATAATTAGTCGTGGACCCGATAATACTTATCTAGTTCTGAAGCTAATGGGCTCCAGCTATTCATACTTTCATGACCCTGAACCCTCTCGTCCGTTGTCGCGAACGTTTGAGCACAAGCACTGCTTAGTGGGGCACCCGATCCATAACCACCATTCATCCATTCGGAGAGAATTTTGATAAAAAGAACATTGAGCGTGATTTCACTTGCCTCCTTGGACTTCCTGGTCTTGACGGCGACCTCGCGCGTTCCCCAGGTGACGTTGTTCATGTTGGTGAAGGAGTAGACGATGAGCAGGAAGTACATGCTGGGCACGGTGATGTAGTACACCACCAGCGCCGGCAGGCAGTAGAACTCGAGCGGATGGAGCAGCGCTGGTGCGGGCAGGGGGATGGTAAACGCACAGTTCCGTGCCGAGGAACGTTTTACTCTGTCTATGTCAGTTAAGGGCCGAACAGATCCAAACGCTTTGTGGAGCAGTCGCGCTGCCATGATCGCATTAACATTTAGATGTCAGGTATGTGAGATAGGTTCCGGAAGCACCACGACGTTCAGCTCGTACTGATCACTTATTAGATCCTACGAATGAAGAAAGTGTCGGTGATGACCCGACTTCGGTCCGGTATGAAGATTAATGCTACGTATTGCAGACTCGCGAGGTTCATTGCCGAAAAGGACTAATTGTATTGCATGTGACTGCACACATTGCCACTCGCCTGTGGCGACGAAGCTCCCCATGGTGGCCATGAAGAAGATGGCTGATGGTGACTCCAAGCCCTCCTCTGCGAATTGCAGTGCCATTCCGATGATGACGATTACCATGACGACCATGTACACCGCTGTCAGTAGCTGGGCTATCATCAGCTGAAAGGGCGCACAGTTCGGTCAACAAATCACTTAGTCCATAGGTGATAACTAGCGTGCTCTTTTCAGTTGTTTGGGGATTACAGATTAAATATGCGAGCCATCAGCACAAAAACTAGCCTCACCTGTATCTTTGAGCTCATTGTCATGCAGGCGAACATGAAGATGAAGACCGGAATCGAGTTGTAGATCAGGGAGTCCCAGTTGCTGATACCGAAGGCGGCGTTGAACGATCCGACGAGCATGAGGAAGATGGTTCCTGGTCCGAGCACCGTGCCAACCATCAGCATCACCTGGCGATGGAAATCAGATGACTTCCAAGCATGATACATAACTCCAGGTCCCCGCAGGTCCGCGATCGTAACTATTGTTTGGCTAGCACCCGTAAGACTTCCAACCGTGCTGTGATAGATAACTGTTTAGTTTCATTGTTTGAGATTTTGTTTTTCAAGTGAATGTCAGCACACCCTGAACGTCGTAATGATGTAAAATGTAAAATAATTTTTCGTTGTGCGGAAACCACGGTAACCTGTGTCGTATCGGGTTTGACACCTTACGGACTAGCTACAATGCATGCTGAATGACCTACCTGGTACATGATGTACAGGGTGGAGATGTTGTCGTTGACTTTGACAGTCCGGCTGTGACTCGCGAGCAGGTCGAGGATGTTGGCCATGGTCGAGGGCACCCAGCGACGGCGCTGGTTGTAGAACTCGTTGAAGCCTTCTGGAGCATGGGTGTAGGCATCCGACGCAGCGCAGTACTCGACGCGGTAGCCTCGCTGCAGCAGCAGGGTGCACAGCCAGCGATCCTCTCCCTGGTCGTACTGCACGTAGTGGCGGGCCTCAGACGCCGGCGTCGTGTAGGTCTTCATCACGTTGTCGTCCATCAGAGCGCGGGCACGGAACAGGGAGAAGCAGCCAGGACTGCAGAGCACACAGCCGATCATGTGCTCGGTGGCCTTCTGGAACCAATGGCCGATGGCGTACTCGAACAGCTGATACCACACCATGGGTCCGGTGCCCACGGGGTGGATGCGGCCGCACGCGGCGCCCAGGTTCGCGTTCTTCTTCATCAGGTCCACGAGCAGCTTCACGGCGTCCGGCAGGAAGTCGATGTCTCCGTCCAGCGCGAGGAGGTAGGTGTTCTCAGCGATCACCTCCTTCCGTTCTGGGTCGATGGGCTGCTCCATGAGGTTGAAGCCAAGCAGGTAGTACATGTACATCACCTGACTCCAGCGCTTGCGGTGGCGAATCAGCGATTTGTCCTTCAGATGGACGACGATCTGAGTTTTGCCGGGAAGCGTGTAGATGAGCCTGCCTCCGTAGGGCGTCGGCGTCTTCACCGGCGGTGGAAGAGCAAGTGCCACGCCATGCACGTTGGAGCAGGCCTCCTCAATACAATGGCACAGCTGTTTCACCCAGCGGTTCACCACCTGCATCTCTTCAGTCTCGTCATCGGAGATCTCGAACGCGTCGTCGAAGAAGATGTGAGTCTTGAAGTGATAGTAGTCCTTGTCAACGATCTGGAGGTACTTCTGAGCACAGCGGCGCGCCGACTGGTCTGCGTCCATGTGTGCCACGGCCTGCAGCATCAGAAGCATCTCGCTCTTTTCCTCGTGCCACATGGTGGCGCACGCCAGGATGCGGGTGATGTGGTCGCTGTGGCGCACCGCGGACTCCTCCTCGTTGTTTGAGCGGGTGGAGACGCTGTCCATACCGTCGTCCGGGCGGCGTTCCATCGTGTCCTCAATGTCTACACCCTGAGGGCAGAAAAAACAAGTTAGCCCATTTCGCTATTCATGAAATGAAAACGCGAAGCATCGGTGAACTGTTCGGTGAAAGGCCCTTGGATTTGTACTTCGATACATAAAATAATCACTCAGGGTGTGAAATTACCGCTCTAGCATGTGCCGTTGAGCGTCCTTGGCGTACCTCTCCGACGAGTCCCAGCTGCTCATCGCGCTTCCGGTTCAGCGCCAGCGACTGGTCGATGAGCAGCGCGTTATACATGGGTGTGACAAACAGCTTTTCGGTGGGCGCCAAACGGAAGCTGGTCGGGAACCAGATGTGCGTCGTTATCCACACCTGAGAGAGCAGCCACATGGCCCAAATCCACACCATCTGGAACAACGACATAGATGGTTAGGTCGTCATCAGCTTCCGTAGAGCACTTATACCTATTTTTGTCTATATTGGTTTTGATAAACCGTGGTTATGTCCGATATGCATATGTTTCCTACCAGCACTCAAGTTCCATATTTTATCCCAATTCCCATGCAAGCTGCTCCCTTGGAGCGCACCGCAGCTCCTGAGGGAGCCATCCGTAGCCGGGTGCAGGGAGTGCTTAGGGGACTGGGAAGCCTGTCCTAACGGACGGGCTCAACCCCGGCGACTCCCTAGGGTGCCTGCCCAGATCAATATCTCTCCCCAATTCCTATCATTCCTCCGGCTCTGAAATGGTCTTATGGGACTGAAAGGGTCTCGCTACCCCCCTCCCCCCCAAAAAAAATTGCGCGTCTTGACAATTTCACTGCGTGCAATGAAAAACATTTATATCCCATCGTTAACACCGGTTTTAATGTCACCAGAACACTCACGTCTTCCGTCATGAACGAGTCAATGTAGTCACCGCTCGGGCACTCGAAGAACAGGTAGCTGGGTATGGAGTCGTTGAAACAGCACGCGTCATCGGCCCGCATTCCGCAGAAGAGCAGCAGCAGTGACAGGCTGCACGGCACCGCCAGGCTCACGGGCAGGGAGAAGCTGAACGGCTGGATGCATATCTTGCACGCGAACTTGCCTGCGGTGGCAAAGCGGGATGTTACCACGTCAATTGGGGCTGCTGTGCTACATCGTCCGCTGCGCTGTTTAAATCAGCATTCACGAATATCTTATTATAAGGTGCATAAATGTAGAATAGAACCATTTCCCGGAATTTTATATGAACTGGGAACATCGGATAGTCAGGCATGCTGCAGCGTTGTAAATCGTTTCCAGCAGAACATTTTATGTGATGTAGTAAAGGGTAAAGATTGCTTGCCTGTGATGTAGGCCAGATAGGCGGCGAACAGCTGCACGAGCCAGACGTAGGCCGGCGTGGCCCATTTGGATTCGATCGGCTTGGTTTCCATGAACTCGCTGGAGAACGCTGTGGCATCCGAGTGGTCGTTGTTGAGCGATCCTCCAGTCTGAAGGCGAAATGGGGTGTTTCTATTCGCAAAAAAAAAAACAGTTTAATGGGCATTACTAAGTGATGTTTTATGAACTGTGCTGTTATGTTATATTTATTATGTTATGTTATTTATAGATATTATATTGACGCTGCTTAGTTCATATATGTTTAAACGAACTCAGGGAATAAGGCCAACAAGGGGGAGTCTGAAGCAGGTATCATGAACGGAGATTTACCAAAGAAGTTCGGCGGTTGTGCGACACAATGCTCACCTCACAAGGACGACAAGGATTCAAAATGCTTACCTCGTTGACAATTAGCGTATGGTTGGCAAAGCTGGGCTTGATGTCTCTGAACAGACCTTGCAGGTCTTCCAGGCGGAAGTAACTGAGCAGGACCATCATGCCGAAGAACACCGCGACTTTCCACACTGACACGAAGAAGTAGGTGACGTAGCGAGTCTTATTCAAGCGCCACTTAAGGTTCTGGAAGAATGTCAAGAATCCTGTGGGAAGATGAAACGACGTTGGAGAGCGTTGACGCTGCTTTGCCCCGCGGAGAAAGGAAAGAACTGTACACGCTTCATTGCTTTGTTATTCAAAAGGCAAAATCTTTCATATTTTTCTCGAACTGGGCACGGAGTACGGACGTTGCGCAATTTGCATGTGTCACTACAATGATTCTGTTAGAAAAAATCAAAGCAAACCTGGCAAAAATGCCACACCATAGATTAACTGCATATTACTACTGCAGATTGCGGGTTTTGACCAATTTTAACACATCAATAAATGTTTCATATGCCAGATTTATCGGAGAGGTCCGTGTTATGACTCATGTCCCTGACGTTGCTAACTCACCAACCGCGAAGCCCGTCTCGCCCGACTCGTCATCGCCCTCGGGTCTGCTCTCGAAGATGGTGAACTCCTCGCCTTTCTTGCGGCGCTCGACGGGCCGTTTTTCGGTGACGAAGTTCTCCCACCAGCCGACCGATGTGAGCACCAGCGCGCTGGGGATGGCCCAGGCGGCCGTGTAGTTGCCGCGACCGGCCTCGATCACCGGCCAGACGATACAGCCGGTCACCTGCAGCAGCAGCGCCACCGCGTCCATCGACAGCTTCAGCACCCTGTGCGGCTCCTCAGGGTGCCGCGAGATCATGCCTGCCGGCCGGCGAGGGCGAGGACAATCAGTAGTCAGCCGATGGTACGTACTCTGCCACTGGAACGGTATTTATGTAGCAGGGGATGAGGCAACTGCCGACAGGAATGACTTGCTGAGAGAATGTATGCAATTTTTGGGCTGTGTCGGCGTCTATAACTTATTCTTTTTCATTTTTATTTTATTTCGAATTGAGATCGAATATTGGAATGTACGGATTCCTTAGCAGAGCTTGCTGCGTACTGCGTAAGCCGTTACCTACCGTCCCATCGCGCAATGCCGTGTAAAGGGATAATTCATACGCCATCAAAGCCGGACACGGCCTGTCCCACTTAACTGACTTCAACTGGCTGCGGTTGCTCCCACCAACCGCAGACCATCCCCGTCAGGAGTCTCAAATATCGAGCTCCGGACCGTCTCTATCCCGGGCTCTAACCACCCGGAGTCCGTTGCCTACCAACCGAGCTAGAGATAGGCATCACGCATGGTTTCATCTCAAAGTGTTTGAAGATGCTCTTTAAGCCCACCATTATTTAATGTGTTTGTCTATATGTTTGAGCAGTCTACGCACGTTCACGACCCATGCATGCCTGCGTTCTGATGCTGTTAAAGGAAAGCGAGTGAGATTGTCAGCGTTACGCTCGCACCCACCGAGCAGACCGGGCACCAGGCAGACGCAGTTGGTAAGCATCAGCGCGCGCACCGAGTCGAGCTCGGGCAGCGCGGCGTACACCAGGATGGCCACGCCGACCGTGTGCAGACTCTCCAGACCGGCTACCGTGGCCAGCTCGGCCAGCGTCGGCCGCTTCAGCGTCTGTCCCAGACACCGGGCACGTCAGGTGACTGGCTGAGGTGTCGACATAGTGATCAGAGGGAAAGGTGGGATGTGCTTGAGACTGACATGAAGGCATTGTGGGACATAGCCTTTTTGTAATGTGGGAACAATGCGCAACTGGGAAGTAAAGCATCAGTTTGTTGCTGCATTTAAATGAGGGCATCAAAGCGTTGTGTGCAAACATATGTCCGGACAAGGTCTTCGGTATTTTGATGTCATTTTAAACTCAGTTGAATCATCTATTGGCTGGACTGATATCTGTTAGGAATTTGTCATTTTGTGTGGTATATATTTTGACGGAACTGTTAGGAGCGTTTTATCTTTATGCGACTGACCTTGAAGAAGCAGAGCCTCGCCGATCGCACGAAAGTCCCAACCTCGGGAACAGTGAAAGCGAGGAACAGACACCAGGTCCAGGCCACCTTCTCAATCTCCGGAATCTCCACACTCCACGAACGACCCAGGCCTGAAAAAGCAAACACAACACTCACTGGTAGGAATACGCGCGTGTGCCAAACTGTTTCTAGTGTTGTGGGAGGCAAGGTCATCTTCAGACTTGAGCATCGCTGGATTGCTGAAAAACGTTTGCCAGCATGTCCGCTGCGGACTGTCTGTTTGTAAATCGACACAGTCTTCCTCTCTACACCGCTTATTAGATAAACGCTACTATAGAAGTACGAGTATATAATAGAATGCCGTTATTTTGTTTCGGAGACCAAGCAATGCTTAGTTGCGGGAAACACGATTACGAACATTTCTATCGTGATTCGGAGTCTCACTCACCGCTGTTTTTGTCGCAATACGACAGTTTCTTGTCCATCTTGAGCTGTGCTGTCATGAAGAGCATAGTGCCCTTGGCCACCATGCAGCCGCCCAGCACGATGCCGAACGTCAGGAAGTAGACGACTACCTTGAGCACCTTGATGGACGCCTCGTAGAAGGGGTGCTCCACGGCCGATCCCGTCTCCTCCTCGATGGGCACCATGCGGAAAATGTTCCACCATGGCGGCTCCTCCTCTCCACTGTGAACGAGCAGCGCCCACGGCCATTGTTAGCCACGTGGTCGTCAGCGCCGACAGACAGCTGAATTGTTAACCAGGCTGAAGCTCGGCTCCCTCTAACAGTCCAACAATCAGCGACCAACGGGGCTGCCTCTCATCTGGATGGATAACTTCCTTTTTTCTGGCAGAGCCCTATATTTCCGGCGAATCGTCATGAACAACATTGTTTTCTGGCAACACAGGTAGCTGTCTAGCTGGCATGTTGAGCTTCAAATACACTTTCAAAAGGTCCCACATCCGCGGCACCGGACCGGCTGCACTATTACCACGCGACTGTGAGATGTGTGCTATAGGGTGGTCCGCACAAGTCAGTAGGGGATCTCACTTTGCACGGGTACACGGTAGGGATCATCGTGGCGGTCGCTTGTTTGTGGTCCAAAATATTTTTAATTGGTTCTACCTCCTGCGAACGGTTCATCGAGTATCATCATACCATTGAATATTGATATACTTTACCTAAATGTTGTGAATGAAAAACTATCGAAAACTCATTTCGTCCTTGATTTATCAAAATTGTAGCTATGGGTACTACAAAGAACACGCTTTTAAACAGAGAAATGTTCAGTGAGTGCAGTCGAGCTTGTGCTTATCGGTACAGACGGTTGTCTGAACATCCGCTATCGGCGCTATCCGCTATCATCAGCCTGATCGTGGCACAGCTACCGAACAGCTAATCTATCGGACTTAATGGTACGGCTATCGGCTTTCTCAGATTGACGACTAAATCCCCTTATCCACCCTCCGCTCCATTTCGCCCGCTAACTTGGCGATTTTTACCGCTCGTAGGAACGCCTGCCACCGACTTACAGTTATCGCTGTGCTTTTTTGCCTTTGTTGGCCAGTAAACTATAAACCATATACAAGGTAAATCAACATAGACATGGATATTGGGCAGCGCATATAGACTAATAATATTTATCACATATGCATTCCCACTCATCGCATCTATCGGTCTAGATTTCATGGTTACCAGTCATGCCCGCTGAGATCTATTTCGAGATCAATACTTCGGTACTCACTCTTGCAGCGGGGCATGCTCGTCGGTCTCGTCGATCTCGGATTCGTCGTCGTCATGGAGACTGTATCGACTCCCACTGGACACCATGGCCGCTTCCTCTGGCCCCTGGGGCCCGTCGCCGCGGCCCGAGACTCAGCACAGGACGCTCGTGAAGACCCGACTGTATGGTCGCCGCGGTGCCGAAATGCAACCTGAGGGCAAGAGAGTAAGACGGTCAAACGAACAGCACCTACTTTGTTCCGTTTTTTATCGTTCAGTAAAGTATTTTGTTTGCTTGCACGCGCGCCATTACATTCTGCTGGTAACTGTTCGGACCGATCGGATGGGAACCCCCTTGCTTCCTGTCGTGCGCCCCTCTGTCTTGTCTTTGTTTGAACTCTTGAGCAGCCTCGACTCGGCTGATGGTGCCCGTGATTGATGCCTCGAGTGTGCGATAGGATTGTAGTGTCGCTAATGCATTACCGGCGGTGACGTCACGTCGGTGGGCCGTTACCTTTGGACGGCGCGATTAGCGACGGTATATCAACTGGGTGACGTCCTCAGTACATACGGTATATGTTTTATCAGAGAGACAACGTGCATTAACGCAATAAAGACATTTTATCAACTCATTTCACTGTGATACGACTTCAACACTCAATCTGAAAACGGATTTTAGCGCATCAAAAATGAAGCTACGATCCAACATCAAATACGTAAAATAAAGACTCATCATGCCCTTCTTGGATTATGAAATGTTACCGGAACATAAGCATTTAATTCTAGGAATACAACAAAAACCCGTTTATAAAAGTTCTGTATTTTAATCCTGTGCTGTGTCGGTGTCGCCTACGTAGTCCTCATGAGAAGTGTATATTGTTGCATTTTGGACTTCGCGTGACAACATAGGTACCTACAACCGTACAATGCGTCAACATTTAAAGCCACGAAGGTCATTTGAAGTCATTGGAGCTCGTAAAGCTATCAAATATACCTAATCTACTATACTATTTGTGAAATGAAACTCTGTCTGTCTGTGTATCTGTTTGCACCGTGCAGAGGGGTGCTTTGACGTCGTGCACAGGTCAAACGTTGCGGTCGATTGGGCTGGAATTTTCGCAGGGTGTTGATGACGTCACGGGCACGTGCAGTGTCGAGGTTCGAGTCCCGGGGGGTGGATGGTTCGCACGTGGCACGCCCTGGAAAAGTGCGTATTTTCTCAGAATTTTGTTCGGTTCTCAAGCCGGCTTCAAGGCATCGGCAGACGGGTTTGATGAACTTTGCAACTAAAATGCATGACGATCGGCGGCGGGTGCCTCTCATTTGCAGATTGGCCAAGTTATTTATTTTGATAAACAGAGGCGAATGAAGGTGTTGATTTTCGGTAAATAAAGACAGTTTTCAATGCGCTTACACAAATGCACCGCGTTTGCCGTAGTGCGCCACATTTGTCACGAGGTGCCGTTTTTGCCGCAAATCGCACAACTTTTTCAAATATGGTCCGATAAACGTGCAATTCGGTGGAAGGATGCATGACAAAAGGACAGTTACAAATGCACCACTTTTGTCGCAATGCGCCACATTTATCACATGGCGCCATTTCTATCAAATACGATTAAGAATAATGGAATGACGCGAGTAGGAGAAGGGTTAGGAACTCTTTTTTAGTTTATCAGTTAATCTGATAGTCTGTGACCTCACATGACCCAGTGATAGTGGAAGATGTAGTGGTAGTAGTATATGTAGGGGTAGTGGTAGTATTAGGGGTAGTGGTAGGGGAAGTGTTAGGGGTAGTAGTAGGGGTAGTGGTAGGGGTAGTGGTAAGGGTAGTAGTAGGGGTTGTAGTAGGGGTAGTAGTAGGGGTAATGGTAGGGGTAGAGGTAGGGGTAGTGGTAGGGGTAGTAGTAGTAGCAGGGGTAGTAGCAGGGGTAGTGGTAGGGGTAGTGGTAGGGGTAGGGGTAGTGGTAGGGGTAGGGGTAGTGGTAGGGGTAGGGGTAGTGGTAGGGGTAGGGTAGGGTAGGGGTAGTGGTAGGGGTAGGGGTAGTGGTAGGGTAGTGGGGGTAGGGGTAGGGGTAGTGGTAGAGGTAGTGGTAGGAGTTGGGGTAGTGGTAGAGGTAGGGGTAGTGGTAGAGGTAGTGGTAGGAGTAGTGGTAGGGGTAGGGGTAGGGGTAGAAGTAGTAGAAGTGTGGTACAGGCCGATCCAATGTGACGTGGTGACCTATACGACCTGGCCTGACCGAAGGTGACCTGGCCTGACCCAGTGTGACCAGGGATGACCAACTTGACCTGACTTGATCCCGTATGACCCAAATTTCATCCAACTAAGTTATTATGTTCAAAATTTTCCTCTGCACGTTTCCGTCCATATCTCTGCTTCCAGACGACAGATCAATTTAAATCAAACACCGTTCGAAAGCAAATTGGCTGCTGCCGCATTCTGTGGCTACGCCGCGAAGCAAGTGGCGCAGCCGCTTGTCTACTATACTATTTGTAGAATGAAACTCTGTCTGTCTGTGTGTTTGCACCGTGCAGAGGGGTGCTTTGACGCCGTGCACAGGTCAAACGGTGCGGTCGATGGGGCTGAAATTTTCGCGACGTGTTGATGACGTCACGCGCACGTGCAGTGTCGTGTTTCGAGTCCCGGGGGGTGGATGGTTCGCACGTGGCACGCCCTGGAAAAGTGCGTATTTCTTCACAAATTTGCTCGGTCTTCAAGGCATCGGCAGCCGGGTTTGATGGACTTTGCAACTAAAATGCATGACGATCGGCGGCGGGTGCCTCTCATTTGCAGATTGGCAAGTTAGGGGAAAGTGGGGTAAGACGGGCACCTTAACTTTGGAGCCATTTTTCGGCCGGTTAGAAACATCATAGAAACGGGAAACTGAGTGAAAACCTTTTACAGACATTTTACTTCCATTTGCCAGAAGATGAGACTTAGACCTGACTCAACAAATAAACTGCAGCTATTTTTGCAAAACCTTGCAAAAACCCATCTTACCCCACTCCATGGGGTAAGACGGTCACATGGGTAGGGCAAGACGGCCAGCTTCTTTCACCGACCAGCACAGCTCGCAGCAAATGCCCGAGATTAGCCGCATTGATACAGTCGCTCGTTGGTCTCAAGTGCTTCGGAAATGGCAGTATACGAGATTCGTGCAGAAGGCGTATACTCGTATATAGGCCCTAGTTCAGAAGCCATGTAGAGCCGTTTTTCACATTCATTATTCGAGAATAAACTGTGCCGAAGGAATATTGCTAACATGTCTGTGAGTATCGGAATCGAACATATTCTTATCAGAAATGCTTCTTTTTTCCTACAGCAACAAAAATATTTTTACCATTACAGACCCATCGGATTCATAGTTGCCCGTCTTACCCCAAACTCAATGTCAGAAGTTCAGCACGATTTTTCTCTGTGGACAATTTGATGCAGACAAAGCAAATCCGCGGTGAATGAACACTGGAGGCATATGAGTGTGCCACAAGTGATTGCCAGTTTTTAACTCTATAGTGCTGCACACAAAAGCTTGCACAATACATTATGAATGTTTTCAATGAAATGAGTGTTTTAAAGAAATCAAAATAAAAGATTATTGACCGAACACAAATTCACCAGACTTCAATGGCGGTGTGTAGTGGGAAAGGCTATTCTGGTCCTAATTTTTCTCGCTCGTAGCGCTATTGGTTTGGTCTGCAGAGGGGGTGCCCGTCTTACCTACCTTGACCGTCTTACCCCACTTTCCCCTATTTATTTTGATAAACAGAGGCGAATGAAGGTGTTGATTTTCGTTAAATAAAGACAGTTTTCAATGCGTTTAACCGAATGCACCACGTTTGCCGTAGTGCGCCACATTTGTCACGAGCTGCCATTTTTTGCCGCAAATCGCACAAGTTTGTCAAATATGGTCCGATAAACGTGCAATTCGGTAGAAGGATGCATGACAAAATGACAATTATAAATGCGCCACGTTTGTCGCAACGCGCCACATTCGTCACAAGGCGCTATTTCCACCAAATATGATAAAGAATAATGGAATTACACGAGAAGGAGCACGGTTGGGGACTCTTTTTTTAGTTCATCAGTTTATATGATAATCTGTGACCTCACATGACCCAGTAGTAGTGGTGGTAGTGTAGTGGTAGTAGTATTGGTAGGAGTAGCGGTAGGGGTAGTGGTAGTATTAGGGGTAGTGGTAGGGGTAGTGTTATGGGTAGCAGTAGGGGTAGTGGTAGGGGTAGTAGTAGGAGTAGTAGTAGGGTAGTGGTAGGGGTAGGGGTAGTGGTAGGGGTAGTAGTAGTGGGAGGGGTAGGGGTAGTGTTAGGGGTAGTGTTAGGGGTAGTGGTAGGGATAGTGGTAGTGGTAGGGGTAGCGGTAGTGGTAGTGGTAGGAGTAGGTGTAGTGGTAGGGTAGTGGTATGGGTAGTGGTACGGGTAGGGGTAGTGGTAGGGGTAGGGGTAGGGGTAGTGGTAGTGGTAGGAGTTGTAGTAGTGGTAGTGGTAGGGGTAGTGGTAGAGGTAGTGGTAGGAGTAGTGGTAGGGGTAGGGGTAGAAGTAGTAGAAGTGTGGTACAGGCCGATCCAATGTGACGTGGTGAGTGGTGACCTATACGACCTGGCCTGACCGAAGATGACCTGACCTGACCCAGTGTGACCGGGGATGACCAACTTGACCTGACTTGATCCCGTATGACCCAAATTTCATCCAACTAATTATTATGTTCAAAATTTTCCTCTGCACGTTTCCGTCCATATCTCTGCTTCCAGACGACAGATCAATTTAAATCACACACCGTTCGAAAGCAAATTGGCTGCTGCCGCATTTTATGGCTACGCCGCGAAGCAAGTGGCGCAGCCACTTGTCTACTATACTATTTGTGAAATGAAACTCTGTCTGTCTGTGTATCTGTTTGCACCGTGCAGAGGGGTGCTTTGACGCCGTGCACAGGTCAAACGGTGCGGTCGATTGGGCTGAAATTTTCGCAGGGTGTTGATGACGTCACGGGCACGTGCAGTGTCGAGGTTCGAGTCCCGGGGGGTGGATGGTTCGCACGTGGCACGCCCTGGAAAAGTGCGTATTTTCTCAGAATTTTGTTCGGTTCTCAAGCCGGCTTCAAGGCATCGGCAGACGGGTTTGATATTTAGGGCCTTGGGTTTGATGAACTTTGCAACTAAAATGCATGACGATCGGCAGCGGGTGCCTCTCATTTGCGGATTGGCAGCTTATTTATTTTGATAAACAGAAGCGAATGAAGGTGTTGATTTTCGGTAAATAAAGACAGTTTTCAATGCGCTTACACAAATGCACCGCGTTTGACGCAATGCGCCACATTTGCCCACATGCGCCATTTTTTGTCGCTGATCGCACAACTTTGTCAAATATGGTCCGATAAGGGTGCAATTTCGTGGAAGGATGCATGACAAAATGACAGGTACAAATGCGCCACTTTTGTCGCAACGCGCCACATTTGTCACAAGGCGCCATTTCCACCAAATACGATTAAGAATAATGGAATGACACGAGTAGGAGCAGGGTTAGGAACTCTTTTTTAGTTTCTTAGTTTATCTGATAGTCTGTGACCTCATATGACCCAGTGATAGTGGTAGGGGTAGTGGTAGTAGTATTGGTAGAAGTAGCGGTAGGGGTAGGGGTAGTGGTAGGGGTAGTGTTAGGGGTAGTAGTAGGGGTAGTGGTAGGGGTAGTGGTAGGGGTAGTGGTAGGGGTAGTAGTAGGGGTAGTAGTAGGGGTAGTGGTAGTGGTAGGGGTAGGGGTAGAGGTAGGGGTAGGTGTAGTGGTAGGGGTAGTGGTAGGGGAGAGGTAGTGGTAGGAGTAGTGGTAGTGGTAGGGGTAGGGGTAGGGGTAGGGGTAGTGGTAGGGGTAGTGGTAGTGGTAGGGTAGTGGTAGGAGTAGTGGTATGGGTAGAAGTAGTATAAGTGTGGTACAGCCCAATCCAATGTGACGTGGTGACCTTTACGACCTGGCCTGACCGAAGGTGACCTGGCCTGAACCAGTGTGACCAGGGATGGTTAACTTGACCTGACTTGACCCCGGATGACCCAAATTTCATCCAACTAAGTTATTATGTTCAAAATTTTCCTCTGCACGTTTCCGTCCATATCTCTGCTTCCAGACGACCGATCAATTTAAATCAAACACCGTTCGAAAGCAAATTGGCTGCTGCCGCATTTTATGGCTACGCCGCGAAGCAAGTGGCGCAGCCGCTTGTCTATATTACTATTTGAGGAAGGCGTAGTTTCTGTCTATTACGAAGGTCGCGACATGGTGCTACGTAGCGCGGGTTACAGGTCACACCGTTGCACCTACCGCGCTGAAATTTGCGCAAGTTATAGAACAAGGATGGACAACGTGCCTTTGAGCGGTCTCGGCTCGATCGGATCGATAGCGAGCGCGTGGCGCGTGCCCAAAAAGTGCAAATTCGCGTCATAGACTTTACATGTATAAATCGGCTGGCAAAAACGGGCGAAAATGGCTAAATTTGCCCGACACGGGTCCGTTCCCCGTGCAATATCTCGGTAGCCGTGCGCCCGATCGGCACGGGGAAAACAGCATCGTGTAGAGAATCGAACGGGCAATCGAATAGTGTGCGGTGCAGGGGTGGCACGCGCCACGTGCAAGTGTGAGGGCAATTTCATTTCAAAAAGTGCCATTTTAAACGGATTTTGGATTTTATTTTATTTTCCCGTGACTATCAGACTGAGAGAGTTGAAACAACGTCAATTGCCAAGAGAAATGTACCGCCTCTCATGGAAAAATTGTGGACAGCTAATTGATCAAAAACAATGTGGAAAAATCGCTGAATTAAAATGGTATTTGTCCATAATGTGCCACTAAAAAGATACACGGGATTTGCTGCTTAACCTGATACGCTTGACAATTGAAAATGCTATCATTAGAAAGAGCATTCAATTCTCTCCAAGATCCAATCATCACGTTTGCATGACAAGCAACAGTATTCTTAAAAATATAAATGTTTTAAACCTCTGCAAAACGATTTTTAGCGAAAATTATCTACGCCTTTCATTTGTCTTAAAACTACGCACCTCAATTATAAAGCACATTTGACAGATTCTGAAGTGGAAAGCATGCTTATCAGACACGGGCACCTCGATGCGGTGGATATTTTTTCCACAAACCAAAACGTTTAGCCGTCAAAAAGCAATCGACCGAAATGGATAGATAACCCAACCGACACAGGAACAACCGAACACCCGCCGATCGAAAATATCCCTTTTCGCGTTGCGGAGCACGCGGGTCACCCTAGTTAAAGCTATCGGGGCTATCAAAAACTTACGGCCAAATAACGTGTCAGGAATGGCACCGAACTGGAAATGCCAGCAGTAAATTTAATTTGTATGCAACATGATCTACCAACTTCCTGATCTGACCGGCTAGGATCTGACCCTGACCCGAATCCAACACCCAAGTTGGCCTCTCCCAAACAGAAAGTAGTTACAAAGTGTATGTATATGACCCGTCTGGACGTCACATGGGGATAGGGCCAAAAATGTTGCCTTGGGGCCATTTTTGCCGAAGTCATTCACCAAAATCAGACACCAACTTATGGGTCTTTGTCTGGACCTCAGAGGTCACTGGCCAATGATCAGAGACTTCATAATTGGGCTCTAATCACTGCATCTGCAAATGACGGTCACGCTGTTTTACCGCGAAGCTTTAGCTTAATCACGGCGAAACGGCCAAGAGGTCGTCGTTTCTTTGTGTAATAGAAAGTCATCTTTTATTGTCTAGTTGTGAGTATTTGGTATGCGGTTACACTCCCAACGTTGACGTGGATCGCCGGTAAAAGAAGTGCTAGTTGGAGAACTTTCCATGACCAACGCTGACGATGCGTCGGCAATGGAAATGTATAGGTACATGCTATGTAAACGACTCTGGCATAGACATTCGGTTCGGCTGTACAAATCCATCATGAACTCTCTCATCATAATGTTGAATTGCCAATGCCTACAAATGGATTATTTGTCTATTACAAATAAATATGCAACACGTTATGCTGATAAGAAACAAAACTCGCACCTCAACCGTGCATCAAAAACACCCACTGCCCACCGGCAGGCCATGCTCTGATTCCAGTCACTGACCTTTCCCAGTCGCCGGCGGTCGGCAGTGACGACCGGTGGGGGTCTCCGTCGGCACGCTCCCGTCCCAGACAGCCAGTCGACGCTCTCCTCCGCGCCCAGCCGTCGGCGTCGGCACCTGTGCAGGCTCCGTCTGACGGGCCGCCGGCGCGAGCGGTATCTGCCCGGCGGCTATCGGCCCGACAGCCACAGGCCGATCCGATAGATAGCCAGCAGGATGTGGATGATAGGAGCCAATGACGCACCTTGAGGTCGGAGAGCGAGGCTGGCGACGGGAGTCCGTCCGATTCCCTCGATTGCGGGGGAGGGGATGGTCGATGATTTATACCTACCTGAGGCATGTGGGCGTCAAGAGTCGAACGAACGTGACGAGCTGGATATGCGTGCGGAGCAACTGAAAAATATCGGTAGGCTTCAACTTGAAACTTGCGCACGGCGCAAAATGATTAAATAATTGGGAGAGAGCCTTCGGCCACGTAACGTTGCAGAAACCATCTGGTGTCACTACCAGCCGTTTGACCCAAGGTGACCAAGAGACAAAAAGGTCACGGTCCAAAAATTGCACAGCAGATTGTGACCCATAAGAGTCGAGCTAGAACGCCGAAAATGGCATCAAACGACTCGCCCGAACCTATTCAAGCCAGGCAAATACGTTTTTCCCTGTACGGAGGTAGACTGCGCCGCCGGACACGCTGGTACTGCGGCACAGCCGGTCCCTTCGTTCGAAGTCGCTGCGGTGCGTCAAGCACTGCACTTATATAGGGCATTCCACGATAGATCGTACCAGGCCCGTCACCCTCATCTCTCAGATTTTAATGAAAATCGGCCCTAGAGGGGTAATCATAGGCCCCAAAGACGCCTGGCAACATATCAGACTTCTCAGATCAAAACTTTTTGAGTTATATTGCATTACATTTTTTAACTTCGGTATGTAACGGTGAGTTTGATGGCCTATAACTCAAGAACGGGTTAAGCAACCAACAAAAAGTAAACAACACTAAGCTTGCGATGAATCAAAAATTAATATTACTATTTAAAAATTCCAAAGAAAAAATTTCATTGTTGAGCAAAAACATTAATCTTTTTTTATTTGCCTCTAATGACTTTTGGGACCAAAATTTTTCACATTTTTATTTTTTCAAAATAATCTTCATGTCATTGCAAATCGACATGCAAAAAATTAGAAAGGTGTTCTTTCTATAAGTTCCTCATTTTCCCGCAAACAAAATGGGTTTCGGAGGGGTTGATTCGACCCCAGCACGCCGTTTCGCTTCTAATAGAGCTAGAGCCTCGCGGAAAAAACGAGCGTGTGTGCCGTTTTAAGTCGCAGCGATTGGTACCCCATTTTAAGGTCTCAGGTTAACCGGTGGCGTCTGAGGTCAGGTCACGTGACTGAAGATACGGCTTCGGTTTTTAGTAAATAACTTCGCAAAAATGGCCGCAGAGCCGCGATTTTGGCATCATTGTGTTCGCCTAGCTCAGGTGCATCGAATGGTATACTTTTTGCTAGGGTGAGGTCAACTTAAGTAGTTGACCTCGGGTCAAGGTCAGGTCAGAGCCCCTCAAGTCACGAAGCTGGGCAAAGGGTATCATATGGCATATCATTCGATTCGGAAGGTCTTCCCGAGTCCATTGGTGGCTTTCCCGACTCTCTAGCTCCATTTGATCGGGAGTTATTGACGAAAAACTCGTACGACCCTAGTGACGTCATAAATGACGTCACGCAAGGTTAACAATGCAAAAGTAAAGCATTGGACTTTGCAAGGAGTGCATGAAATCACGATACCATGTACGTGGGATAGTTTTAGATCATTCTCGGCGCCAAAATAACAGTTTTTATATTTCCCCATTGATTTATAACACTGATGTCACGTGACCGACCTGACCTCAAGTAACCTTGAAAAATTCCCAGATATACAAGTTGTGAGACCTCTTGAGGACACCATGTATGCGTCCTGTAACTTTAATCTCGGACAGCTATGGTCATTGGCGTCCAAAACAATGTCAGAACCAAACAGCCTTTTTCACCCTCGCGCTTATAGGAAAGAGGGTTGAATGAACCCTCTTTTCACTTTTTTTTCAGATGACTCAGACTTGAATTGAAGTTTCAGTAACCCGTGATGTCACTAGGCAGCTTTACCACGCCATTTGTAAGCTCCCCTCCCGAAATCACTATTCGAAACCGTTATCGTGACGTACAAAGCAAGATCCAAAAAATGTTATCATAACTCAAAAAATACTTATCTGATAATCCTGAAATTGTTACAGGTGGATTCAGAGCCCCTGATTACCCCTCAGACCAATTCTCGTCAAATTCCGAGAGATGAGGGTGTCAAATTGGAAAAAAGTGGTACGATCTATCGTGGAATCCCCCATGAGTAAAGTAATCTTGACTGCATTGGTCGACCCGGTCTTTTTCTCTCATTACGTGGTCCTTGGATGACCCAAATAAAAGGAAATGATCCACTACAAAGAAAATGGAGCATGCAACAATAAAATTTTAGTTAGAACACAATACATAGGGTAACTGTGGGGAAAACGCACCCCTGGGTTAAACGCCTCCCCTAAAAAAATCGTAGATCTTATCGACGGATAGGTGTTTTATCCTGGCTTTCAGAACAGTCAGCTGCTTGTTTACGTAGTTCTCTATTTCCGGTTCTGCGTCTTGAGGAGCAGCGTGGGTAGGTGCTGATGTTGGTTTTGGGTGCTGTTTTTGTTGTTTTTACAGAAGATTCCTAAGCTTTTGATGCCCTCTTTATATCACAAAACTTGCTATTGTGCACATCACTCAAAACTGCGTTTTATTGTCATTCTGTTGAATTTATTATGCGGCGGCGTTAGTGGCGCGTTTTTTGTCAATATTTTGTTGACCGGAAATGGAGTGGATGGGGAAAGACGCCTACTCGATGCATGGGGCAAGACGCCCCCAGTTTTCTGAAAGGGGGGCGTTTTGCACGGTGGTGAGAGTGCAGGGTAGCGCCGTGTAGGTCGGGGCCGAAAAGGCCTCTCCCTGTCCTTTTTTGCTGATATATCCTAAACGACTGCAGATATCGTCACCAAACTTTCAGGACTCCTCCGGGCATCCATTTTATACATTGCAACAACATGTTATTCCAAAGGCTATGATAGGTTGACCACAAATGACGTCAGAATGACGTCAAGTTCTGCCATGTTCATCATTTTCTGTTGATGGATGGGGTGGGGGCGCTTTGCACATGGGTGTGGGCGTATTACCCAGGTTGTGGGGCAAAACGCCCTTTTGTAAGGGTATGCGGAAACCTTTTTTGGGGGTTAAATACCACACGCAAGTGTCTTTTCTTGGTCTCAAAGCGTAGTAAAAAGAATGAGCTACATGATGGTGCCCAAAGGTTTGAGTAATCTGAGTTGGGTTGAGTGTCAGAAGGTTTCGCGCTTAATGGGGGCGTTTTTGACCTATTCACCCTATGTCCAAATCGAACGGTTTTTGACGATAGGTACCTACTGGAATTTTTTTTAGGAATATTTGCCCGTCATGTTCAATGGTTGAGCCAGTGATGTATTGATGAATCAACATTGCTGGTAGGTCAACAATCCTCTTTTCAGGAATAAAACTTCAATCACACCCTAACTGACGTTTATTGCCTTTGACTACGAGAAATCAGTAGTGATAGACATAGCGGAGCCTGGCACTATCGCACCAGGTCAGTTCATACCAGACTTTATGCATGCATTGGTGATTACGAGTCTAAGTCATAAAATGCTACACCAGCCCTCACATTAAAGAATGAACGCCTACTGTAAACCAGCTGATGATGAAAATATTTCAGTTATTGACGAGTCAAAATATGTCAATTATTGACCAGTCCAGTGTTGGAAATGAGCCCCTTTTCTGGTCCCGGGCGGGTCCAAAAGATTTTATTCTCCTTACCAATTTTATACTCCGGCACCTCTGTGTCAAAATGTGACTAGCAAAAGAACAGCGACTGGCGCAAAGTCGCCCAGACATCAACGAACTAGCAAATTAAGGAACGTTAACCGATTCTGGAGTTTTTATGCTTTGTTCAATTAATAACTCATTGATTTATCAAGTCATTGGGCCCGCGAGATTCATGCACAATCCGCAAATTTGGGATAAGGTGGATGCCTAAAAGTTATCCTTTGTTGTGCTGTATGGTAACCAACTGACTGGTCTTCCCACAGGATCCTCCATAAATGAAGTCTCCCAGACCAGTCCTACGTGGAACCGGTCCCTGGCCTGCTCTTCCCGGCTGTTCCTGCTCCTTAACGGTCTACGCACTGCGCCCAACGGACTTTGTGGACTATTCGAAGACGCTTTGATCCTGTTCGTGAATCTCCTCATGTCAATCCATATTATCCATTGTAGCACATTCAAATGTACAATTTGTGTTCTAGCTGGTCAAATCGTGCACAGAACTAAGACATTCGTTACATTGAATGACTCACCGCACATCCAACTTGCGTGCCTCGTGGGTGCCTCGCCCAAAATTCTTATGATACGTACCTAAAATCGAACAAACTATGATTGTAAATGTCAAAACCAGCATTTTTTACACATGCCATGCATCACACGAATTGTGACGTGAATGCATCATCAATGCTTCATATTGTGTTGTGTATGCTCTTCGTGCCTAATAAATGTGCACTTTTTATGCTATCGCCTATCACCAGCAGTGACAAATTTTGGTCTCAGTTATTTTCTGTAAGAGTGAACGAAGTAGACCGAAATGAAGTGAACAGGGTGTGAACATAGCTGTGAATCGGTGTCCGCCTACTAGCATGCAGGTTACTGGCCGTCACGTCATCTTGACATGACACCCACCATAATGCATGGAACGGGCAGCATTTCACACGTTGGCACGTTTCTTATCACAAACAAGTCCGGAAACGAAATGCAAGATGCGCTTATGTTCGTTAAATCGTCTTTCTCGAATGTTTGCGAGAAGGGTGAGAAGAATAGGCCACAGGACAAAGGTCATTTTGGGTCAGGGTTATGAAAATTTAAGTGAACATGTACAATTGATCAATACGATAGTGTGACAATTTTCAGCGAGGTCTGCCGCCCTCACGATGGTTATTAATGAAAAACTGAGGAGCTATTTTGACCCCGCCCCCTGCAAGTGCCGGATAGACGCTCTCACAAGCAGCAGAA